GGGGAGGGTCCGGCCTGCCAGAAGAGACAGACCTAGACCGTGGCGTGGGAGTTCTGGCCCCGGGTTCTCCAGTTTTGCCCGCGACCCGGAGCTGTTGAGGCGCTGCGGCCCAGCTCGCAGCAGCGGCCCTCGGGGCGTCCGGCCCTGTGGGGTGAATTTCTGGCTGCCATGGCCGCCACCGGCTTGCGGGCCTTCGGGACAAAGGGGCCCGGCTGGCTCCAGCGAAGCCCCTGGGCTCCGCTCTCCGCCGGCTTCTGCAGCAGGGGTCCGGCCGGGGCCGGGCGGCCGGAGCTCGGGCCGCGACTCACCAGCGCGCGGCAGCGGGACGGCATCAGGTCAGCGGCGGGGCCGTGAGAGCGCCCTGGCCCTCCCGGACCGGCGGCCCGCGGGCCTAGCGGGGCAGCTCCCAGGTCGGGGTGGGCGGCAGGGACCCGGGCAGAGAGATGGAGTCACCCCACGCGGAGGCCGACGAGGACTCGGCCAGGGGTCAGCTCCATCCGCTGGGAACCCCAATTTGTGCGAATCCGGCCGGAGGCCGCGAAGGGAACCCGCGGACAGGGTGTTTCCTGAAGTCCCTTGCCTGGGCACTGTAACATTTCGGATCCTGCAGGACACACAGGAGAATTTCAGATGGGACAGCCTCAGAAGGCCCCGCACTGCCCCTAAACCCCCAGGGCAACCGAGCCGCGTCTTCATCGGACTTTAGGCTCGGGCGGGTGCGGAGAGCTCGGCAGGTGGCCCCACCGCTGATGTGGCCTTTGAGAAAGAGGGTTCTGTGCTTCTCACAACCTTGACCTGGTTCCAAGGCCCGGTTAGGCTTAGCCGAGCTGCTCCTTGGCCTTACCCCAGAAGTACCGAGGCGGGGGAGCAGGTCAATATGTAGGACGAAGGGCACACTGTACTGAGCTCTGCCCTTTGGCTCAACAAGCCTAAAACCCTTAAAAAAACAAAGCAAAACAAAACAAAACAAACAAACCGGTGCACAAACTGGAATTGGAGTAGTAAAGGTTGAAGGACTCCTAGCCCCATGCAGGCCTCACCCTGTTGTTTGCCTGGCCAGGGCAAGGGTACAAAGAGAGGCCTACCCAGCGTGCTAAGTATTTGAAAGTTACAAATCAAACTAACAGCTGAATATGTTTTCTTCTCCTACCCTGACAAGTGTATCTTCATAAGACCTGGAAGACCATGTATGAATTTATAATCCTGAGGCTCCTAGGAGTTCCCCAAAAGCAGTGAAGGCCCTGCTGCTGGCCTGCAACTTTTTTCTTTTCTTCCCACCCTATGCTCACCCCCTGTCACCTTTCCACCCGTCCTTCCTGCTGCTCTGCCAGGAGCTTGGCACACAGGTCTGCAGACAGCCCATCCAGCATGCCTCCATACTCTCTCTCCCCTCCCCTCCTAGAAATAATTGCTCTTGGCCACCCCATGGGCTTGAGGATGCCCCCCCGCAAAGCCAGAGAATGTCAGAGTCGCAGTAACCATGGCAGGGTTTGGAAGAGGGTGGTGATTTCCAGGTGGACACGTCATACTCTTCAGGTGGACCCCTGGCTCCCCTGAAAGGGCATAGCTGGAGCAGGGTGCCCAGAGCGGGGTACTCGAAAGTGCAGCATCCAGGCAGGGTCCTCCTTGCTCATTTTCAAGGGTGGTTCTGCTTCTGCAAATCTGGTTCCACCTGGTCAGAACCCTGACATCTGGCATGGCAGCCAGGTGACCAAAGAAGGTCTGGTTGAGTTCTCCAGAGCTAAACATGAGTCAGAAAGAGAGGCGATGGGAAGCATCAAGCTAACGTAAGTGCTCAGAATCAGTAAGCAGGAACCTCCAAATCCATCACTAAAGCAGTGGTATGTTAGGCACCAAGTTGGTGAGCTTGAACAACTCAGTCACACTTCAAGCATCCCTTTTCAAAGCTGTTCCTCTCAGCAATGATAGATACTGTCATGGAGTGAAAGGCGGCCGGAAATTGGGGTACCGTGCTAGGCACCGTACAGTCGCCACCCCTAATCCTTCTGGCGGTCTGCGAGCTAGGTTATGTCGTCCCTATCCTACAGTGAGTAAACAGGTTCAGAGAGGTGGCAGCCTCCTCAAGGCCACACAGCCGGGAGGAAAGAGAGCCAGGAGGCAGGAAAAGGTCCATCTGCCTCCAAAGCTGTTTCCACTCTGCTGTATAGCTCAGTGTCCTCACCACTGAGGTTTAAAAGAGGTGGCAAAACACTAGGTGAGATGAAAATTTGCAGGAATTAGTGGAGTTGGATGTGAGAAATCAAAATGCTATTTGGGGTCATTAATTCAGTCAGCAGGTGTCTGCCGAGTGTCTCCCCTGTGTGTGAACATGACAGGTGCCTCATCTCACGGACCTTCTGGGGGTTTACAATGATGTGATGGGCTCCGGACAGCTCATCAGGGCCTCCCCAGGGCCCATCTCCTGCCCTGCAGACAGAAATATTACACTTTTTATCACATGCTCTGGCGGTGACCTCACTCTTGGTGATTCCCTCTTTCCAGTGGTGGTGTTGGTGAAGCTGTAGGTGCAAGGCATCACACGTTTTGACCCAAGATTTCAGAAGAAATTCAGGAGAATTCAGACTGCTAAGATTTTTAGGAGGTATTACCAGCCAGCTCTGATGGCCAGTTGAAGAGGGAAGAAATGAGGATCATTTAGGGGCGAGCAGAAGGCAAGGAGCCCTTTGAAGAAGTAGAGGAGGACAAGCTAGAGAAGCACCAAAAAACAGGAGACAGAAGGAGAGCATGATCCAAATGGCCATTGGATTTGGTTCTGGCAATGAGGAGATACTCGGCGAGGGCAGACTGAGTGGAGTGGCAGGAAGAGAAGCCTGGCTGTGCTGGGTTGAGAAGTGAACTCAGCAATTCAGAGCACTCGGACAGGGTGTGGAACGCAGCAGCCAAAGGGTTAATGGGCCACATACGAACAGACGCCAACGTGCAGCAAGGCCATCCGGGCGCCGGCGTCTTTCTACACGATTTTGCCCAAGGCCTTAGAATTTAATTTAAGCATATGTCACTGACGGGATGGCAGCTCCTAGGTTTGCTACAGAAAATCACACTCATTATCTTACTGGAAGGTTCCGTCGGCACTTCTCTTACCACACCCCAGAACGCGGGTTTCATCGCCTATCGGCCTATCAGCTGCAAGTCATTCTTGGCACTCAGGAGGAAAGGTGTTGACGAGAAACAAAACGATGACTGTCACAGTCATCTGAAGATGGCAGCAAAGCCGGAACGGTGTTCCAAAGAAAATGGGTATTCGTGGGGCACTGAAATAAAGTCAGTCACCGAAGTGGTTTTCCAGAAGCCAGTGGCCCAGAGGGCTATTTAAGGAGGAGCCAGGCTGACACATAGCAGGAGGAATAGCAGAGCCAAAGAAAGAGAAAGGCAGAAAACATGTAGCAGGGGGCCAAGGGGAAACAGATGCAACATATAGAACAATAGCCTGGAGTCTGGCTCCCTGCCCATTCCGTTTCACCGCACAAATCAGACCCTTCTGTGTACAGGCAGACAGATGACAATACCGGTTCTTTTAATTAGCACGTGGGATACCTTAAAACAGCGAGACCTTGGCATGCCAGCTCCTTGTTGGAGGACGTGTCCAGAAGAGCCCTCTTGCTCTTCGCCCCTGTCCTTCTGTTCTTCCCACATTGGCCGTCCTCAGCATGAGTTATTTGGCAGAATTTCAGGATGCCGCTATAAAAACCCAGAAAGATGCTGTCATCCATGCACATCGGCCACTGCGACTGCGCTGCCTCCTCGGTGGGGTGCATGGGGAAGACTCGGGGGGCGTCTTTTCATTCTCGGCTCCTTCCCTAACCTTACTCTCTTGAACAGCAGAGAAAACGGAGCTGAAGGTAGCCACAGTGTGGCAGCTTTCTCTGGCTCCCGCTGTGGACTTATAAGCCTCAGCGCCTCTCGGAACGGGCAGTGGTGATTTTTGGAACTGCTGTAACCTGCCCTTTGGGTGGAGGTGGCAGTCTTTTTTCTGACAGCAATCATGGAGACAAAGAGAAACAAACCCAGGGAACGAGGGAGGAAACCCAGCCCACTTTTCAGGTAGTCTCCTCGTTTTGCCTTAGCTATAATTCCAGATAGTTGGCAGACCCTCTCAGTTGCCTCTAAGCACCCATGGCTCTCTTTTCTGGTGTTTTAAAAAATAGCCCCCGGGGAGAGAAAGGAATTGCGGGGGTCCTCACTTGTTTTGATTTCGTGCACGACCCAGTAATTATAAAACGTTCTTCCCAGGAACATTGTCCTGAGTGATCCGAAGAAGAGGAATGCGCTGTCATTAGCCATGCTGAAATCTCTGCAAAGTGACATTCTTCACGAAGCGGAAAGCAAAGATCTGAAAGTCATCATCATTTCAGGTATTTATCTGATACCCATCCTCCATGTTCTTGCAGGACCTGGAAGTGGTTTCTCAAAATTCTTTGGTCAACTGGGGCATTCCTTCGCTTACGGGAGAATTGTTTTTGAAGCTCCTTTACAAGAACATTATGAAAAAACTCCTGTGTAGTTAACTGGGGAAATGATAGGAAGGATTACTGTGTGGTGAGAATATGTCTTTTCCTTTTTGTCAGATGTGTCAGATACGAAACATTGCCACCCTTGGCCATGCTGGTCTTCCCATCAAAATCAGAGAACTGATTTCTTCGTGGATCTGATAAGATGGGTTTATAATCACTAATGCTTTTGGTAGACTATCTAGTTGGCTAGGACAGGCTGCTGGGCAATTGATTGGTTTGTCTTTTCTGCTCTTAACTAAGCTTTCCACTGAGATCTGTGGTTTTCTTCAATGGTGCCAGAAAGCATGCTAGATTTTGCTCATTTCTTCCCGTGCTCTTTTTCCAGTAAGACTTTTTACCAAATCATCTAGTGCTGATGACAGGGGTATAAATAATAGCAGTGCCAGCATTTTAAAGCAACTGGAGAAAAAACAAAACAGATGCTGCCCTATAATGCACTATTTTTTAAAAATTAAGAATCGGTGTTTCTGGAGGCAGGTACTCAGAATGTTACCTTTTTGTCTGTGGTTGGATATGAATTTTCAACTTTTAAAAAAAATTTTAAATTTATTTTTGTGTGTGTGAGAGAGAGAGCATGCGCGAGTGCGGGGGCTGGGGAGAGAGGGGCAGACAGAATCTCAAGCAGACTCCACACCCATCATGGAGCCTGACACAGGGCTTGATCTCGTGACCCTGAGATCATGACCTGAGCTGAAATCAAGAGTCAGACGCTTAACCAACTGAGCCACCCAGGCGCCCCCAAATTTTCAACTTTTTACATGGCAAAGGGAAAAGAGATAGAGCAAAAACTGTCCAGCCGCCGTGGGGGTGTAACCCAGATGCAGTGAGGCAGCCAACTCTGAACGGTACAGTTTTCTCACCTGTGTGCAGGGAACAGTATTGTCTGTCCCAGCAGTCACAGGGAAAGGGAAATAGGAGAAAGTGTTACCAGTTGATCGATGGAATTACATTGCGTCATCATTGCTAACGGCAACAGTAACAGTAAAACCACATCCTCAGATCCCTCGTAAAAATAAAGGGGCTCTCTTCACACTCCGACCTTCCTGATTCCAACCTGTGTGGGTGGCCGTTATCTGTGGTCCAGAGGACAGGGACACTGCGGGAGGCAGGGTGGGCTTGATGGGCCCAAATGAGTCAATACACTCAGGCCAGACCAAGTCCAGAAACAAAAGTGTGAAACTGGAGGGATAATTCTGGAGAGAGTACATTTGCCGTGGTTACTGAGCTTTCTCCTTGTTGGCATAACATGTTTTCGCTGGTTCCACCGCAGACCTTTGAGAACCGATGCCTCACCTTACGTTGTCACCGCAAAATACTTGCTGTCACTTTTCAAGCGAAATGGAATTATTCTTTTTTTTTTTTAAGATTTTATTTATTTATTTGAGAGAGAGAATGAGAGAGAGAGAGCACATGAGAGGGGGGAGGGTCAGAGGGAGAAGCAGGCTCCCCGCCGAGCCGGGAGCCCGATGCGGGACTCGATCCCGGGACTCCAGGATCATGACCTGAGCCGAAGGCAGTCGCTCAACCAACTGAGCCACCCAGGCGCCCGAAATGGAATTATTCTTATCAGAATCGAGCCATTAACTTTCTCTAAGTGTCCATGGCCTCAACGCGATTGCTAGTTATCCTGTAGGTAAGTAAGTGAACATTTAAGCTTGGCTGTTCACATCTCTTTCTATTCTTTTCTTTTCTCCACTGGAAACATTTGCAGCTGAGGGGCCCGTATTTTCTTCTGGGCATGATTTAAAGGAACTGACAGATGAGCGAAGCCCAGATTATCATGCCGAAGTATTTCAGACCTGTTCTGAGGTAAGCCAGGATGAGGGTCAACATCGAACACCCGAAAATGATAGTTACATGAAATACTGAATTAGGCTTCCACTTTACAGATAAGGCTTTATCTATGAGACCTAGTCACTGCAGACTGGTCACTGGTGCATCCTTCACCCAGGCCACTATTTGGTTTCGATTTTTAAGAAGTGACCATGGTTTGTGATTGATCTTGTTACAAGCCAACGAAAGTAAACTATAGGCTAGTGCTGATAGTTGCTGCCTCCAGGATCATGGGGGTGTGTCTTGGTAGATGTGTCTTAAGGAAGAGGTGAAGGGTGGGGGTGTACATCTTTAGAGGGGAAGAACCTAAGATTAGTATAATTTTTTTTTAATTTTAAACTAAAACATCTCTGTTAATGGGAGAGAGAATATTTGTGAATGGAATAATAATGATTTTAAAGATTGTTTCCTTTTTTTTTTTTTAAGATTTTATTTATTTGACAGAGAGAGAGAGAGACAGTGAGAGAGGGAACACAAGCGGGGGGAGTGGGAGAGGGAGAAGCAGGCTCCCCACCAAGCAGGGAGCCCGATGCGGGGCTCTATCCCAGGACCCTGGTATTGTGACCTAAGCTGAAGGCAGACGCTTAACAACTGAGCCACCCAGGCGCCCCTTAAAGATTATTTTCAAACCCTTCTTCCAACCAACCTTTGTAATCACCACCTCCAAGTGGGAAAATTAACCTCTTCACGTTTACTTCTCCTGTCTATCTCTTTAACCATACGAAGGAGAGAAATTGCCCGCAGAGAGGAAGAGGAACAAAAGGTTTGAGATGATTATAAATATATTAAGTCAACCCCTGGATAATAAAAACCTGAATGTAGAACACAACTTTAGGTAATGCATTGCTCATTTCATAACTACTCATTGAGCACTACTGTATGCATAATACTTGCAAGGCTCTGAAGGAAAAAGAAGGAAAAAACAAGGTTCCTGCCAAACTGAAACTGGATATGTAGGTGAGAAGCAAGACATAAAACAGTTTCAGGAGCGCCTGGGTGGCGCAGTCCATTTAGCAACTGACTCTTGGTCTCGGCTCAGGTCATGATCTCAGGGTTATGAGATCAAGCCCCGTGTTGGGCTCCACGTCGAGCATGGAGCCTGCTTGAGATATTTTCTCTCCCCCTCCCTCTCCCATTCATGCTCTATTTATTTTATAAATAAATATTTACAAAATCTCTCTCTCTCAAATTAATAAATCTTAAAAAAAAAAAAAAAGACCCAAAACAGTTTCATAACCTGATCTGAAGATTACTTCACCTAATTTTTCCTTCGTTCATTGACTTGCTCATTTATTTGGTCGTTAATGACTCAACAAATATTTCATAACTTCTAGATAGACGAGACAGAGGTGAGCAGCAGGGAGGCTGACAGGAAGGTGATTAAGATGCCGTCTCGACCACCATTTTTTTTCCTCGCCCTTCCAGAATGCAGCAAGGAGAGCCAGTTAGAGTGTTCTCATTTCATGGCAGGACCAGCCAGAAAACCAACTGACTTGACGCTTCAGGGAAAGGCAGAAGCAACCTGGAGCTAAGGCTTCGGTCTTTTGTTTCACATTAATGGTGTTTATGTAACATTCTGCTCTTGGGTTTGCCAAGGCACCGCGCTCTAGAAGTTATTTCTCTGCTAATATCCAGTGTGTTTGGCTAAAACAGAAAAGCATCAGAGAGAACCACTAGAGCCCTCCCATCCTCCCTAAAGGGCCTGCTTTTACCACTCTGCTGTGTCTTCAGGACCTGAGGTCTAAACGGGTCAGCAAGAGGGCCACGGGGGAGCCCGGAGCTGCTTCAGAGGAGAAAGGCTGGGTTTCGTGGAAGCTGGCAACCCCCAGTGAGCCTTTTTCAGGCTCATTGAAAAAGACAGTGCAGGAACAGGACCTTGTCCTAACACAGGGAGATAGGAGTGAAAGTGCATTGATTTCTTGAATACTTTTTCTAAGAAAATCACATTGTCCTGGATAAATATGGGCATCATGAACTTGTGCAAGATTTCAATTTCAAAATGTAATCAACAGACAGATTGGGACAGAACGAGCTAGATATTTCACTGTTCCGTTCATGCATGAGAAAATTTGGATTTAGAGAGGAAGACGGAGCTTCCTGGCTTGGCTCAGCATCTAAACTGTAGCAGATTCCTTGCAGACCACAAGTGCCTCCTGATCATTAATTATTTACAAAGCACGAATAGGGTAAATTGAGAAGGAGAAGAAACACGTGGCCGTGGGAGAGCAAAAGTAACCCTCTGTGGAGCTGATGTGACAGATTTCCCTGGAGACCTACCCCTCGTGTCTCTTTTTTTTTTTTAATTTTTATTTATTTATTTATTTGAAAGAGAGAGAGAGAGAGAGAGCATGAGCAGGGAGGAGGGGCAGAAGGAGAAGCAGATTCCTCACTGAGCAGGGAGCCCGATGCGGGGCTCGATCCCAGGACCCCAGGATCATGACCCGAGCTGAAGGCAGACGCCCAACCGACTGAGCCACCCCGGCGCCCCCCCTCGTGTGTCTTCTTTTGTCCTGTTGAAGTTCGAGGGTGGAATCCCTCATCCAGGAAGAGATTCTTCTCTTTCCCCTCACCCCCACCAGTGAAATGGCAACAGCGCAAGGCCTCTGACGGAGCCCTCAGTAATGCTAATGAGTGAGGCTAAGCTATACTTAGGTTTATGTCACATTTTAGAGCAGGCAGAGACCAGGAAAAATATTTAGTTCAGGAAGGTAAACTAGGAGGGATAATCATTTATTGACTACCAAGGGATTGATTGCCCCAGCTGATTTATTATCTAGCTTGTCTTTGTCTTTCCTGAATTGCTCTCTAACTTTATTTAAAATACACTCTGGGGGGCACCTGGGTGGCTTAGTCGGTTGGGTGTCTGACTCTTGATTTCTGCTGGGGTCGTGATCCCAGTAGTGCTCCTCGCTCAGTGCTGGAGATTCTCTCTCTCTTCTGCCCCTCTCCCCCCCATGCGTGTGCACATGCATGCGTGCTCTCGCTTGCTCTCAAATAAATAAATCTTTAAAAAATAAAAAAAATTTTAAAATAAAATATTTTGGGGGCTGCCTGGCTGGCTCAGTCAGTAGAGCATGTGACTCTTGATCTCAGGGTCATGGGTTCAAGCCCCATATTGGGCGTGGAGCCTACTTAAAAAAAAAGTTACTTAAAATATGTTTTAGGGCGCCTGGGTGGCTCAGTTGGTTGAGTGACTGCCTTCAGTTCAGGTCATGATCCCAGGGTCCTGGGATCGAGTCCCGCATCGGGCTCCCTGCTCTGGGGGGAGCCTGCTTCTCCCTCTCCCACTCCCCCTGCTTGTGTTCCCTCTCTCGCTGTGTCTCTCTCTGTCAAATAAATAAATAAAAATTTTTAATAAAAAAAATAAAATATGTTTTAATTATACAAATAATTAACATTGTGGAAAATTTTGAAAATCCAGAAAAATAGAAGGAAGGAAAATAAACTGCTGATACTGGACCATGATCATACCACCCAGATAGAATGCTAGTATTTAATATATTTCTTTCAAACCTTTTCTCATGTGAAGCTATTTGTCTGAATAATCATACATAAGAGCAATTATACTGTATAATTGTATAATGTGATTATAACACTGAATGCTTACCATGTGCCACATAAGGTTTGGAATACTTTAGACATATATATAATTCTCATGTTCTAGAAGGTTTGTACTATTCTTATGCCCATTATTATACCCGGGTGTGAAGACCAAACGATAGCCAGTGGGTAAGTGGCAGACTGGGCATCAAACCCCAGGAGCCTGGCTCCAGCCTACTATGCAAGACCCAGACCACCACCATGCTGCTGTGTCTGGTGGAAAATCTCATAATGAGAACACAGCATTCCATTAAAGGGACAATTAGTTTACATAGCCATTTTTCTTATTTATTTATTTATTTTTAATTATTTATTTGAAAGAGAGAGAGAGCCCTAGCAGGAGGCAGAGGGAGAAGCAGACTCCCTGCTGAGCAGGGAGCCCAACTCGGGGCTCTATCCCAGGACCCTGGAATCATGACCTGAGCCAAAGGCAGATGCTTAACCAACTGAGCCACCCAGGTGCCCCTTCTAATTTATTTTTATATATTTATGTTACTTATTAAATTTTCACTAATACAAAATAATTTTTTGAACATCTTTGCCCAGACAGCTTTTTACCTATTTTAGGATTTTTCCTTAGAAGTGTTCCCTAGATGAAAGGTAGGAATATTTTTAATATTGTTGGAATCTACTCTAAGTATTTTCCCACCAGGTTGTATAGAATCCTAGTGCTTCCTAGAGGGCACACAGGAGACACAGACCGTTCAACGCTAATCACGGCCAAGTGACTTTTCATAAGTAACCAGTTCATTAGGTGACAGACGACACTCAGCAAAAAAAAAAATCTTTCTTTGCAGCAAGACATTAGAAGTTCTTAAGCGTTCTTCTCCTTGCTATTGCAGTTCACTGAGAATGAGCTCTATCACTGACCATCCTCATCCTCACCTAGAGTTCTCAAACCCCCTAAATCCATGAACAGTTTGGGGTGTGGATATATATGTGTGCCTTCTTCTGAGGAGAGGGTAATTAGCATTTGTCAGATTCTCAAAAGGTGACCCCCTAAAAAAAGTCCAAACCACTACTATAGAATATGATATCATATCCCTAAATATATAAGGATTATTTTATAATAAAGCTGACAAATATAACACGTTTGTGAATGCAAAAGGCTGAGTTCCTTGGGCAAAATCTTCAAATCAATGAAAGGTCATTTTTTTGGAGTTGCCACTGTGGGAAACAAGCCCAGATGTAGTGGCTCCTTCCCACCTGCCCTCCTTCCCTGCCAGGGTTCAAGGTGCAACTATTTATACATCCAAGTTACCATAGCAACGCAATCTGTTTAGAGTGGCATGAAAAAAAATGGAGAAATAAACCAAGTTATTTGGTAAGCTGCAAAAATAAGTTAAAAGCTCTGGCGATTTATGCGGTGGGGAGAGGGGAAGCGTCACATGAGCAAGTTTTCTGGCTCCTCTGTGCAGGGGCCCTGTTTGGGGAGTTTTGTTTATTTTGATGACAGCAGGGCATCCCCGCACCATTGTAATAGAATTGAGAGAATGTTCCCTGCGGTAATTTGAGAAGTAATTACTACGGAAATTGCCTTCCAGTTCCTTTTCCGCCTTAATTTTTCAAGAAAGTATCAAATACCAGTTTCGGACTTGCCACCGCGTTCCCCAGAGATCAAAATCAGCTCTGTGCTTCAGGGGGGCTGCTGGGGATCAGTCAGAGGGGATCGTGACCTCACAGCGACGTCCTGCCGGGCGTGGGAAGACCAGGGCTGTGCCGTCAGCCCCTGCATCCCGCCGCCTGGGCGAGTGCCTTCCCCTCTGAGCCTTCACGGCCCGGTTGTCATGGAGGGTCCGCTCCTCCCCTGGGTCTCAGGAAGACCACACAGTCGGTATTTAGTGCTCGCTTGGTTCTCTTCATGCCTCCTTTCCCCCTTTCCCCCCGAGACTCTGAGCTAATGCCTATGGAAAATGCTCTGCAAAGGGTGACGTCACATACACTGATACATGTGAACTTTGCGTTTCGCTCCCGGGTGGAAACGAAGTGGTGTGTTTGCTCCTCCAGGTCATGATGCTGATCCAGAACCACCCAGTCCCCGTCATCGCCATGGTGAATGGCTTGGCCACCGCGGCCGGCTGCCAGCTGGTCGCCAGCTGCGACATCGCCGTGGCCAGCGACACGTCCTCTTTCGCCACTCCGGGGGTGAACCTCGGGCTCTTCTGCTCCACACCAGGGGTGGCCTTGGGGAGAGCGGTGCCGAGAAAGGTAACTGAACTCGCTGGGCCCTGCAGACATGATCCTTCAGGGCACGGGGTGGTCGGTTCCAGCACTCGCCCGGAGTGTGGTTGGCGCGGTGTGCCGCGGCGTCCCTTCTCTGCACAGCCAGCTGCCTGCCCCTCGGGGCAGCTCCTTAGGTTCCTTACTCGATTTGCATAAAGGCACACGTTCTTGTCATCTTACTGGCCCCGCCTTTGAAGCCCAGTTTTGTTGGGCCACCTGGGGAGGTAGGTCAGTATCTGGAGCTAGGACGCTAGTGTCACTGGCTTATTGTTTGCCCACAACCTGTCTTGTTCCAGAAGGGACTGAAAAGAGCTGATTCCCTGAGTGTGTCAGGTTCACAGTGGTGACGTGTCAGGAGCAAGAACAGTCCATGCTTGGTAGATTGGCTCTGCCCCAGAAGGAGCCACATTACAAAAGGTGTTTTGTCGTTGGCTGACCAAAGGGAAGTCCATTTTCTTCACAAAACTCTCTTCCTTCTTATCACATCATAAAATAATATTTACTAAGCATCTCTTACGTGTAAACCAGGGGTTTCCTCGCTCCAGAAAAAAATACATCCTCATTCTCAACCGGAAATGTGTTTTCAAAAAGGGAAAGTTTGGCAAAGTCGTGTAACGTTGGGGAACCTAAACTGCTTTCTAGAATATATTATCCATTTTACCATCAACTACAAAAACTAGCAGTTGCCCATATGCCTGAGGCACCAAAGAGATAAGACCCAAGGGAAATCAGGCTGTAGGACCAAGAAGTTTCGGGATGCATTCCTTTCTTGTATGGTGCCTCCTCACTAGTTTTCACAGAACCGTGTATTCGTGACAAAGGTCAGAAGACAGATCCTGCGAGCACACACACGCAGGAACGCCGGCTGAAAGTGGGCAAAGTGTGAGCTGTCAAACACAACAGCTTGCTAAAAGGTTTGCACACTAAGGGGGTTTCATCCTGTCAGGAGACACGTTCACCTTAAATGCATATATGGTAATTCAGTAAATACTTCTTAAGTCCCTACTTTGTGCCAAGTATATTAAATTGAAGTACACCTCAAATATATTGTCAGAGCTCGTTAACAAACTAACTTACAATTGTGCAAATCAAGTTGCAAATCAAATCTTGCATAGTCAAAGGCAGTTGGACTGGTTACCCCATCTGCCGCTGTTCATCTTGAACACCTGATGTTCTGGAAGGGTCCACAGTAGGGCATTTAAACCTTTGTAACAGCCCTGCTGTCAGGATAAGAATCCATTTCTTTCTTAACACAAACTTTTCAAATCGAGGCTTATAAGGGAGTCCTAGAAATGTAAACATTGTTATCACATTTTGTCAAGTTTTAAATTAGTTTTTGAGAAGAGAAAAAAACAAATGTGACACATACAGGCCTTAAGTTTTCAGGAAGCCCAGCGCTCAGAACCACCTTGCATAACTGCCCAGCATGAGGGATGAAGGGGCAGGACGTGGCAAGACCCAAAGCGGCTTCTACCTCCCTCGGGCAGTTTTGGCAAGGGCCGGGCCTGCCGAGAAGATGAGGGCAGAGTTTCCGGTATTGTCCCACTCAGCTCCCTGATCTGCACTCTTTGTGATCTGATCCCCTGAGTTTCTTCCCAGCTAGCAGTCTGAAAGTGGTTCAGAGTTGCCCTCTGGGTTCATGACTACCCAGAGGCGTGAAGCGGATACACAGTTTGGGGTCAGCACTCATGATCTGAAATCACACTACCAATAAAGGGAATTCAGTGGGAAGAAAAGTCTGTCAGAACGTAGGGCCTCTGCCGGGTTGCTGGATCTGCAGGTCTCACCTGTGCAACCCCCTGGAGGAGGCAAGTAGGGATTCATAAAAATCTAAACCTAACCAGAAACACCCCTCCCTGCGGTCATTGCTTGGTTGCGCCCCTATGAGCACATCCATGCACAGGCCCGTGGGCTTCGGTGGGTGGTGGGCCCCTGTCCCCTCGGCGCACAGCCGCAGGGAAGCAAGCAGGTGCTTTTGCGGCTCACCTGGCCTGGGAGCTCCGCCCTTTCCGCCGCGGCTGGAGCCACAGGTGTGGGCCACCGGCGCCCTCTGCTGGTCACCATGGGAACCGGCTCAGCAGGGCCGCCGTCCGTGCGCCGGGAGCAGCCCTTGCGTTCAAGCCAGACTGAGCCTGCGCATGAATATAAAGCGTTTCTCTCCTCTGGCGTGAGTTAAATAGTGCATCTTCACTGCGCCCTATAAACAGCCTGCCTGGTGCGGTGCTGTCCTCCCCAGCCGGGGCGGGCCTCTCCCAGCAACGTGGCGCCAGTGCCTCAGGCAGTTGGTATCACGGGAGAGCGGAGAGCGTGTGGAAGAGCCAAAGCCCCGCCTCCCCGGCCCCTCATTTCTCTGTGGTGGGAACGCTGGCTTCCTCCTCTCTGCCCGTGGTAACGCTGTGTATCTGTGGACTCCGATTTCCTCAGAGCCTAGTTAGAACAGAGTACAACTTCCAAGCTGGAAAGAGTGTTAGTGTTAGAAAGTCTTGCTCCTCGGCCTGCTATGGAGACCGCCAGAGCGCCTGAGAAATGCAGGGTCACAGCCCCCCCAGACCGGCCACGTCAGAATCTGCACTTTAACAGAGATTTGCAATGGCCTCGGCGCCGTCGAGAACATGTAGTTCAACCCCCCAATTTACAAGAGGGCCTGGGGGCGATTCAGGGCCTTACCTAATGTCTCCCAGCAAGTAATCTGGCCCCGCGGCCCTCCCGTCGGCTTCCTTCCTCCCTGAGCCCTAACTGCATGGCCAGCCAGTTCTTACCATAGATGTGACTCGAGGGGCCCCAAAGACCTCTCTGCTTTAAAGACTCACCGCCTTTCAGGGCTGTGATGCCTAAAAGCCAATCAGAGATTCATACAAATGTACAGTTGGAATAGGCATGTTGATAATCATCAGGGCATTTATTAGATGCCGACTGAGTGCCCAGCAGGGTAGCGTCAGCTTTGCACTTACTGTCTCTCATCTCCACAATCCCGCAGGAGGATGGAAGGCTTATTCCCATTTTTAGATGAGGAAACAGACTCAGAGGGCTTAAGTTGCATCCATAAGGTCTTGTGGTTAGTAAGTGGCCCATCTGGGGTTGGAACTCGGGGGACCAACTCTAGACCCAAATCCTGCTGCTTCCGGGGTTTGCTTTGGCCTCAAGTGCCCCAGAAAGAGGAAGCATTAAAACCCCAGCTTGGTAGGGGGGCCCAAGAAGTGCCGTCATAAAAGGCAGCTTCCTTCTCTCTCATCTGAAGTTCCGGGGGACACTTGACATAGAAGCTTCAATCTAAGCAAAGATTGTGCTGATTAGCTAGAAAATAAGCAGGCTTTCTTTTCCTTAGAGAATACCACGCTGTTATCCAGCCCGCCTGGGTAAAATCCCCAAAGTCATTATGTGCTAACACTAGGACCCCAGTAGGCAGGTAAGGAAACCGAGGCCCAAAGAAGGGGCTGAGCCAGGCGGGGCTCTTGACCTTACTCCCATCAAGACTTCCTTCAGGCGTGGCGTGAATCCCCCAAAGACCTTCCCGGTCTTCTGGAATGAAAGAGAAGCCCGGGCAGTGGAAGCACGCGGGAGAGCGTGCCCCGCCTGGCCCGTCTCCGGGCTGCACCTCCATCAGTAAGAGCCACGGGGGCCCCTTTCTCCCCATTCCCATCGAGTCAGACGCATCCGTCACTCGTCAGCCAGCCACCTCGCCCTCATCCTGGTTCTTCACCTGTTCTCTTCTTTGCTTTTGAAAACTGGCTTTCCTGGGACGCCTCCTGGGAGGTGACATGTTTGTGGTGCTGCCTGGATTTGAGCAGAGATTGAGAAGCGGAGCCCATGTGCCTGACTCGAAGCCCCATGACCAAGCCGAGGCCACCCAGATCTGGTTCCAAAGCCCGATGAGACCTGGTGCACTGGGCCCTCCTCATGATCGCTCTCCACAGGAGTGTCTGTCACTTTCCGTGAAGTGGGAAAGAGGATGGGGACATAAGTGAACCTACTACCATTGAACAATTCGGATTTTTTACTGCAAGTGAATCTGTGAATAAAGGAAGTTTGTGCCCGAAAGAAGTGATCCAGGAGTCGAAGGGACTGGTCCAGATGATAGGGTCCCTTCACCTACCTGCAGGCAAGGCTGCATTTACAGTATTCCAGAAGGATGAGTGTCTTGTGTCTTTGAAAATATTTCCCTGTGAGGTGATTTCTGAAATTAGCAGTTCTCATACCCACTAGATAGCAGGTAGTAGGAGAGGCCGGGACGGTGCATGCTGAGCACAGAGCCCAGAACTTGGTGGGGACCCTTCAGATAGCTGTCTGACTGATTTCTGACCGTCTGCCGCGTTCTGACCATCTGTCTGTCTCTGTCTTTCTCCGCTTGACTGACTGACTCACTGACTGAAAGGGAAAATATCTTCTGTCCAATGACAATCCCTCATGCTATACCTCAAGGTCACTTCCTTTTTGTGGATATTAGAGATCCTGAAATAACATTAGGGACCGTTTGTCTGGAAGGGAGTTTAAGAGGTCATGTATGTTCCTGTGGGCAGAGCCCCCCTGGCCTGACACACAGGGGATGCCCCTATTCATACCTCTCCAGGGATGAGGACTCCACATTCTCCCAGACTGGTTCAGTTCAGGGACTTGGATGCTTTCTTTTCTTTCTTTCTTTTTTTTAAATGAGTTTTTGGAGTTGCTTCGGAATTAAGACATTCAAAAACCCATAGTCTTCCTGTGTGTGTATTAGTCACCTTGGGCTGCCATAATACATACCAGGGACTGGGTGGCAGAAACAACAGAAATTTACTTCCTCGTAGTTCCAGAGGCTGCGAGTCTCAGCTCACCATGCCAGCAGATGTGAGGCCTGGTAAGAGCTCTCTTCCCAGCTTGGAGCTGGCCACCTTCCTACTATGTCCAACTCTGTCCTCATATGGCGGCGAGAGAGAGACACAGACGGAGACAGAGATCTCTAACTCTGCTCAGAAGGCCACCAATCCTATTGAATCAGGGCTCTACCCAATGACCTCAGTTAACCTTAATTACTACCCTAAAGGCCCCATCTCCAAAAACAGTTGCACTGGGCCTTAGGACTTCCATACATGCATTTTGGGGAGACACAATTCAGTGTGTAGCACTGCTCTTCATACTTGTAGCTCTCCTATGTCAATCTTTGTTGGGTGAATGAATGTCCAAGAGAAAGTTATGCTCTGCTTGGAGTTCCTGCTCACGGAACCTGGCCCCCAGCCTCAAACACAGACTCGTGCCAGGCCCCATGAGCAAGCAGAACCATCACAGTTCTTTCCCCCGGTTCATGTCTTGCTCAGATGGACCGTTTTCCCTAGCATTTCTGTTGCACTCGATGTGACCAGGAGGCCTGTGGTCCTTCGTTAGCTGTTCTTTACCGCATCTCTGAGAGACTCATTTGTACACATGCATTCCAGCTGGGGAAGGGGGAGACGAGAAGCAACGTGCTCCGGGGTCCTTTGGAGGAGCCACACTCCGCAGGCGGGACAAGGCCCCCGCGCGCACTCTGGCCTGTGCCTGGGCCTGCAGAAGCTTGGACCCCAAAGGACTCACCCTGAAAACTTGGAGCACTTGGACCCTGGGTGGCTGCAGTCTCTGAGCCAGACAGGTGCTCTGTAGGCGGGTCATGGAAGCAGGGGAAGGAGAACGGAACCGAGGAGGCTCAGGAAGAGAAAGAGAGACATAGGAAAAACAGAGACGCTGAAGAAAGCATCTATTGGAGGAAGGCGTTGACAAGGGGATTGTCCCATGGACAGATCATGAGCCCAGCCAGCAAGTATGGACTTCTCCACTGAGCCAGCCAAAGGAGCACATACTACTTTGATTTTAATGATTTCCTCCTTCTGACTCTACTACCATTCATAGCTACTCTTTTTAGAAAGATTTTTATTTATTTGAGAGAGAGAGCATGCGAGGAGAGGAGCAGAGAGAGAGGGAAAGTAAGGGAGAGAATCCCAAGCAGGCTCCATGCCCAGCATGGAGCCCGACGTGGGGCTTGATCTCACAACCCTGAGATCATGACCTGAGCCGAAACCAGGAGCTGGATGCTCAACTGACTGAGCCACCCAGGCGCCCCCTGTAACTAACTACTCTTGGAAGGCTATTTGAGGTCTTGGCCATTGTTTTAAAGGGATTGATGACTTGTCTTCGCTGGATTTGATTTTCAGTGTTATTTTCAGGGCTGGCCACTGTGTGCTCTGTGGTCCCCATGAATTTCTTGAGAGCCGCCTGCATGAACAGAGGAAAAGAAAGGCTGGAAGGTGCAGTGGCCCTGCTTTCCCCTGGCTTCTGACCCACGTCCCCGCTGACACATGCTTCTCAGGCAGTGACAGAGTACACATTGTCCCGACCCCTTCATGTGACTCACTGGGTGTCTTCAGCGGGGTCTTAGCATAAGCCCTTAAATCAGCAGGACCTGGCTTTTAGCTCCACGTTCAACCAGGGGCTTCCAACCTGCTTTGGCGTGATGACACTTTCCTGGTCAGCTAACACATGGCCTCTGGAGCGACCCACGGGCATCCCGTACCTGCTCCCTCCAACATGCAGTCACTACATTCCCCCGAACTGGACAAAGCTGGGACTTCATCCATCCCCTAACTTTGCAGAGGAGAAGCTGGCCAGCATCACTTGCCCCAACTGCCAGTCCAGTGTGTATTCCACTTGTCCCCACCAGGGCAGGAGTCCTTGAGCCCAGCCTTCTGACCCCTCCTTCTTTACCAAAGCTCCCTCCCTAGCTGTGACAATCTAGTGTCATGATTTTAAAAACCATCTAAATCGGTGGTTCTACACTGGGAGCAATACTGGTTCCAGGGGACGTCTGACAGTGGCTGGAGAGCTCTGTGATGGTCACAGCTATTGCACTGGGACATGTAACTCCTGGCACCTGGCAGATAGAGACCAGGGATGCTGATAAAGACTCTGCAAAGACACGACCATCCCACACAGCAAGATATCACCTGGCCCAAAATAGACAACGGCACCAAGGTTGAGAAACCTAGTCAGTAGCATGATCTAAATGCTAATGCCCCCCAAATTTGTATCTCAAGCTAGTCCCGTTATCTATTACTGCAGAGTGAACCACCCATAACTCAGTGGCTGAAAGCAGCAACAGTAATTTGTTGAGCTCATGACTCTGCAATCTGGACGGGGCTCCCTGAGGAAGGTCCTCTCTGCTCTGCAGTGTGTGGCCTCAGCTGGGAGGAACTGAAGATGGGGGGGTGAGCGTCATCTGAGCGCTTGCTGACCCCCGTGTCCGGCTGCTGGGCAGCCTCTCGGCAGGGACCCCACCTGTGCCGGTCACTGGAACACTTCACACGGCCTCTCCTGTGTCTTGGCTTCCCCACACACCATGGCACCAGGTTCCACGACCAGGCGGCCCAAGCAAATGAGCCAGGTGGAAGCTGAGCCACCACTCTGACCAAGCCCCCAAAGAACGGAAGCCTCCCCTCTGCTGTACCACCTGCTTTCATCCATCCATCCCACAAATCGCTCATTGATAAATAACTAGTAAGCTGCAAGGTGCCCTTCTGCTGCTGGCGGCCCAGAAATCAACAGAACAGTTTGAAAAAAAAAAAAAAATCCCTGACCTGGTGGTGTCTACCTGCTAGCAAAGGAGATAATACGATACACAAAATCAGCACGTCATTATAGAGTGTGTTAAATGGCAGAAGCGCAAAGGATGCAGATACAGCCGGGAAGGGGCAGAACGCCGGGGTGTGATCTGCAGATTGACTAGCGTGGTCAGGGAGGACCGTGTGGTCAGGAGGACGCCGAAGCCAAGACCTGATGGGGACGAGGGCACCAGTCGTGAGGACGCCTGAGGATGGAGGATCGCAGGCGGAGGGAACACCAAGTACAAGCACCCCAAGGTGACAGCATGCCCGGTGTGCTCAGCTCAAGGAACAGCGGGGCGGCAGGGCAGGGGTGGGGTGGGGGGGCAGAAAGGCGCCTCCCCACCTGTGTGCTCCGTGTGCAGCAGGAAGCCCTCTTTGAAATCGTGGCTTTGAATCTCAAGAGGCCAGGCTTTGTAGAATTAGGGAAACGAGGCGCAGGACGCGGCAGGCTATGGAACGGAGCCAACCGCGGAGAGCAGGGAGCCGGTACCCCTCTTCTGCAGGCCTGAGAAGTGTGGGGGGAAAGGGGTCCACGGACGGAGGTGGCCCCTTGTGTAAGTTACATCGTGCCCTGATCCTGCGACTGGTCCCTGGAGGGCATTTCCTTTCAATCCCTCCTCCTGGGGTTTGCGGGGG